ACAAGCACAATGGCATTAGTCAACACTAACTGAATCAACTTGATTGCTCTAGTCAAAAATTCTAGTAATTGATAACGATCAAATTCACTTCTACCAGGAAAAAATAGATTGATCCCTTATGAAACAGTTACAAAAAGGTCTATGCCCTTAAAAATAAAATCTCATGTATCTCTCATTCTTCTGAACTCTTACATAACTTAATATTGTAATGCTTCATAATTACACAAAAGAGTTATTTTCACTAGGTAAAAGAAAATCTTTGTGACCTATCAACTGATGACAACCAGACTCTTCACAGTCTAGAACATGGAAAGCGGGTCTTTTGGAAAAAACAAAGAAAGATTAGCCTTGAGAGCTTTCGGAAGAGACCACATCAAGTTCTTCTTACTATTCACACTGCAAGAAAATTTGAGGATGTTGAATAATACATCCACATTTTTCAACTCAAGAGGGTCCCTTTAGGCTCTTGAAATTGAACATCTTTTGGAGACCTCAAGGTAAAGCTTACAAAAGAAGTATATCCTCAGAAGCAGATGGCACCCTTGATGCAGACTGCTTTTTCAAGAAAACAGACTAAGACCTGTCTCCTCTCAAATGTGAAAGCTTCATCCTTTGTCTTCTTTTCCATGTGTTTCTTTTCTGTTTATGCATGGTAAGGTAATGTAATCATTAAGATTCATAACCAGTAGTTTCCACAGGAAATGTAACTAAATGTTGTATATGTCATAGTAAGCCTAAATGCCTACATGATCTTAGAGGTCCTCTACTAAGTGAAGAAGTGAAGTAACTCAGGAATGGAAAACCAAACATCCTATTTTCTCACTGATATGTGGGAACTAAGCGTTGAGGGCATAAAGGCATAAGAATGATACAATGGACTTTGTGGAAAGAGTGGGAAGGGGCGAGGGATAAAAGACTACAAATATGGTGCAGTATATACTGCTCAGGTGAAGGGTGCACCAAAATCTCACAAGTCACTAAAGAACTTACTTATGTAACCAAATACCATGTGTTCCCCAATAATTATGGAAAAATAAAAGATACATAAAAAATAAAAGTAAAACAAAGAAAAACTGAGGATATTATTAAAGATTTAAATCGATGAGAGAAAAAAATTTCCACAAATTTTCAATTGACAATCAATATATTTTAATACTGATGGTGCACATTATCTTTTTGAATACAGATATATCAAGGAGAATTACTATTCAACATTTTGCATGAGGTTCGTAGTTACTGTTTCTTATCAAATCGGTTATAAGTGTTTATCTGCAAATAACATTCTTAATTCAAAGGTAATATGAAAGAAGGGCCAAGTTCTGTCTATGAACTATAGTTTTCTTTTATCACTGCTATATAGAAACATTATTTTAAATATTAAAGAGTCATAGATAAACATAACAAGAACCATAGAAAATCCAATCCAACCCTTTCACATTACAGGTTAAAAAAATGAGATCCCAAGTGATAAAATAACTTGCCTAGTTTTGTTTTGTTTGTAACTACAAATCATTAACAAAGAGAATAAAAATGAAAAAAGATTTAAGCAAAGGTGAGGAACTTGAATCAGTATTGAATTACATTTTTGCTGATTAAGAAAAGGAAAATCAGGACGAGCTGGAGGAGGAAAATCAATACATCTCTGGGCAACATTTGTTTAACAGCTATCTATTAAGTGTACACCATGTGCCAGGGATTTTTCAAGAAGCTTGTGGTATATTAGGGAACACATCAGAAAGTGAGTCATCAATTCCAGCAAAATTTCAAATAAAAATTACTTCAACACTTATATGTATTTTCAGATAATTAGTACTTGGGCATTAATTCAGGATATCCAGTAATTGATTTGATGACATATTTTTTAGGTAAAGAAATCTCGGCCAGGCACGGTGATTCACTCCTGTTACAGCACTTTGGGAGGCTGAGGTGGGCAGATCACGAGGTCAATAGATGAAGACCATCCTAGCCAATATGATGAAACCCCATCTCTACTAAAAATACAAAAATTAGCTGGGCATGGTGGCGCACGCCTGTAGTCCCAGATACTCAGGAGGCTGAGGCAGGAGAATTGCTTGAGCCCAGGAGGCAGAGGTTGCAGTGAGCCAAGATCACACCACTGCACTCCAGCCTGGCAACAGAGCGAGACTCTGTCTCAAGAAAAAAAAAAGAACTCTCACCAAAAGATAGCTCTTACGTAAGCTATTGCATTACTGCATTCTATATTCAGTTCCCTTATAGTTGGTAAAGTAGTATAAGTTGTTCTCAAAGAAAGGTCAATGGACATGATATTCCTGCAGTACCCAGAAGACAATAATAAGGTGGTGTTTTTCTTAATAGGAATTAGTTCATTGACAATAAGGGTAAAGATAAGGAAGAGGTAAACAGTTCTTACTCTAGCTATACCCTATTACCATGGCTAAATTTATGGTGCTGAAAGCTATATTCAAATATTTTCTCCAACACTTTACAGTGTCAGCATGATTAGAGTCTAAATAACTGTAACTAAATAATAGTGATGTAATTAATGTAACAATCTTCTAATTCATAGAGTATTAGGATTATTTTGTCAAGAAATAAACAAGTGATTCCTTCTCTAATTCAGCAATCCAATATCCCTGCATAAAAGTTTATATTACCTTGTGGAATTCTGATCTAAAAAGAGAACATAATAATTAAAAAAAAAAGAAAAGAATAAAGAAGAATCTTCATGGTAGAAAATTTATTAGTAGAAAGGTATTAAAAGACATTTCTTCACATGCAAGGTGCTGAAATGAGGGAACAGAAAAGTTTTGCCTCTCTGGGGCTTATTAAGAATAAAAAGATTTCTATGCTTGGTTAAATGTGTTATCATCAAAGGGCAAGTAGTAAGAAAAATTATTGTCTTTTCACAAAATTAGTAAGATTTTTTTTCTGTAGACCTTCTATCCAGAAATTTACTGCTTGACCTGTTTAGATTGAATTTTATATCTCTACATCAAAATAAAAAAATTAACAAATATTTCAGTTAGAGTAAGCTAGACAATTATAAGTGCATGGTGCATGTCACAACAACAATAATATCTTGTTAAACTAGATAACATCACCCCATCTCTGACCTCCACAGCACAACTGTTGGAAACAAAAAAGACATCCTTCCTTAGTGAGGATTTTTGGGTAAATAATATTGTCCCCAGGGTGGCCAAGAAAGTCCTCATTTTTGCTATTACATAATCTCTGCCTTTCCTATATCTTCATCTTTCCTAAGATCACTGTGACATTTCCCAAGTTTTCCACATGAACATCAGCTGCACAGCCAATGAGAGCTCTTTCTGAAAATTAATACACGCCTAGAAATATTTCCAAAATTATTCTGAGATAGAACTAACTCAACTAGATTTCCTGATGGATCTTAGGTACAGGAGTTGTGCTGAGTTTTGGGTCAGGTTTACTCATCAGCTAACTGAGCTTCATTTTGCAAAAACTCCCTATAGTTATGCAATTGTAATTCTTGTCCCAACCAAATCGAAATTCCTTCATTAGAAACATTCTCTGAGGGCATAAAATTGAGTTAGCCGGACACCAGCCCTACTTTGCTGGGAAAAAGATACCTATTCCTAAACTTTCTTATGAAATGTTCTTTGAAAAAAGAATCACACTGCTAAAAGGGGTTTTATCTCTCAGATCTCGCTATTTATCCCTTTGCCGTATTATGAATAGTGCTTAATCGCCCTACAGAGAGAGCACTGATAAACTGTGTCATCTCACAAGCACCCTAATTCATTAAAGATATGGAAAAACACATCAGACAGGTCAAAATTGATAGCTACCATATTTGAAAGAGAAGAAACACATTTTCTGTTAATGAAGAGTAGATAGGGCTGGGAACGGTGGCTCATGCCTGTAATCTCAACACTTTGGAAGGCTGAGGTGGGTGGACCACGAGGTCAGGAAATCGAGACCATCCTAACACTGTGAAATCCCGTCTGTACTGAAAATAAAAAATTTATCCAGGTCTGGTGGCAGGTGACTGTAATAACAGCTACTCGGCAGGCGGAGGCAGGAAAACCATTTGAACCCACGAGGTGGAGGCGGAGGTTGCAGTGAGCCGAGGTCGCACCACTGCCTTCCAGCCTGGGTGACATGTGTCAGAGCGAGAGTCTCAAAAAAAAAAAAAAAAAAAAGAAAGAAAGAAAAAAAAAAAAGAAAGAGCAAATGGCTTAGAGGGGTTTTGGTGGAAACCAGGATATATGAAGATAACCATGATCCTCACAGTAAATCTGGCAATAGGGACACATACACATATTTAGAGAGGGAGCAGAGTAACTCAGGTAAGTAATATGAATATCTGAGTGTCAAAGTGGAAATAACGAGATTATAAACATAATTATAATATATTTTCTTGTCTCTTTAATGTGTTTATCCATTTGAAATACAAAAATCCCCAATGAATAAGTAGAGACAAAATTAATTGTATGTAAATAGATATATTTAGAATTTTAAAGTGCATATTTTCATTAAATATTGCAAACATGTTTTTTATTATTTATTTTTATTGCGTTTTAGGTTTTGGGGTACATGTGCAGAACATGTAACATAGTTGCATAGGTACACACATGACAGTGTGTTTTGCTGCCTTCTGCCCCTTCACCCACACTTGGCATTTCTCCCCAGGCTATCCCTCCCCAGCTCCCCTGCCCCGCACTGTCCCTCCCCTATTCCCCCAATAGACCCCAGTGTGTGGTACTCCCTTCCCTGTGTCTAAGTGTTCTCATTGTTCATCACCCACTTATGAGTGAGAATATGTGGTATTTCATTTTCTGTTCTTGTGTCAGTTTGCTGAGAATGGTCTTCTCCAGATTCATCCATGTCCCTACAAAGGACACGAACTCATCATTTTTGATTGCTGCATAATATTCCATGGTGTATATGTGCCACATTTTCCATTTTTACCTACTCTTGAGCGAAAAACATGCATCTATGTTCCAGACTTGATGCTCAATAGTAATTCTTTTTTCCAGAGTTTATACGCAGCACTGACTTCTCCATTTAATGCAGTATCCATAATCATACTCAACATCATCGCAAAATGTTTTACATATTCCTCTCACTCTTTCACATCTCTCAAATCTATACTTCGGTTGCTGTGGTTCAAAACTGCTTCTGGCTGCAATTAAGAAAAATATCTAAAGTTATTAGTCTATTATTAATTTAGGGATTTACTTGCTAAAGAAAGACAAAAACTGTTCTCATTGTGACATCATGTGTGTTCAAGATGGAGAGAATGGAACATAGATTTGTTTTGTAGCAGAACTTAAGAGTCATTTAAGAAAATGACTGAGCTACTACCATTTTACTTGTAAAAATGTGTATGACCTTATCTTGCAGTGTCCATCGATTCTAAACTTTAGCTGGCTCAGTCTACAGAAACAATGGGCAAGTAGCACACAGTTTAGTGCTAATTATATGTATTTTTGTCAAACATTTGTCATGATACCTTTGTTCTTAAAGCTAAATATATATGCCCTTCTATAATAATTTATTTTGATTATTTACCTCTTTCATATTTGGACATAGTGGGCTCACAAATAGTAATCATGGAGAAAAAGTAGGTAAGACTTTTAATGTACTAAATTTGCTGATAGGGCAATTGACTGAGAAAACTAAAAGATAAAGTACTTTAGTTATACATAGAGAAACATGATGTATACTACATATCTGGGAAAAAGAGGAGTCTCACATTCATATTCTATTATAGTTTCTTGTGAATCATCTTAGAGAGTGAAAAGAAAGATGTTCTGAGATTGAAAAATTACAGTTTTTATATCCTGAGACTTTGCTGAAGTTGCTTATCAGTTTCAGGAGTTTTTGGGCTGAGGCGATGGGGTCTTCTAGGTATACTATCATGTCGTCTGCAAATAGAGACAATTTGGCTTCCACCTTTCCTATTTGAATACCCTTTATTTCTTTTTCTTGCCTGATTGCTCTGGCTAGAACTTCCAGTACTATATTGAATAGGAGTGGTGAAAGAGGGCATCCTTGTCTAGTGCCAGATTTCAAAGGGAATGCTTCCAGTTTTTGCCCATTCAGTATGATATTGGCTGTTGGTTTGTCATAAATAGCTTTTATTACTTTGAGATACGATCCATCGATACGGAGTTTATTGAGGGTTTTTAGCATTAAGGGCTGTTGAATTTTGTCAAATGCCTTCTCTGCGTTGATTGAGATAATCATGTGGTTTTTGTTTTTGGTTCTGTTTATGTGGTGAATTACGTTTATAGACTTGTGTATGTTGAACCAGCCTTGCATCCCCGGGATGAATCCTACTTGATCATGATGAATAAGTTTTTCAATGTGCAAAAATCACAAGCATTCGTCTACACCAATAACAGACTTAAAGAAAGCCAAATCAAGAACGAACTGCCATTCACAATTGCTACAAAAAGAATAAAATACCTTGGAATACAACTCACAAGGAACATAAGGGACCTCTTCAAGGAGAACTACAAACCACTCCTCAACGAAATCAGAGAGGACACAAACAATTGGAGAAAACATTCCATGTTCATGGTTAGGAAGAATTATTATCATGAAAATGGCTATACTGCCCAAAGTAATTTACAGAATCAATGCTATCCCCATCAAGCTACCATTGACTATCTTCACAGAACTGGAAAAAACCACCATGAACTTCATATGGAACCAAAAGAGAGCCCGCATAGCCAAGTCAATTCTAAGCAAAAAGAACACAGCGGGGGGCATCACACTACCGGATTTCAAACTATACTACAAGGCTACAGTAATCAAAATAGCATGGTACTGGTACCAAAACAGAGATACAGACCAATGGAACAAAACAGAGGCACCGGAGGCAACACAACATATCTACAACTATACAATCTTTGATAAACCTGACAAAAACAAGCCATGGGGAAAGGACTCCCTGTTTAATAAATGGTGTTGGGAAAACTGGCTAGCCATGTGCAGAAAGGAGAAACTGGACCCCTTCCTGACACCTCACACTAAAATTAACTCCAGATGGATTAAAGACTTAAACATAAGACCTGGCACCATAAAAACCCTAGAAGGAAATCTAGGCAAAACTATCCAGGACATAGGAGTAGGCAAGGACTTCATGAACAAAACACCAAAAGCATTGGCAACAAAAGCCAAAATAGACAAATGGGACCTAATGAAACTCCACAGCTTCTGCACGGCAAAAGAAACAGTCACTAGAGTGGATCGGCAACCAACAGAATGGGAAAAAATTTTCGCAGTTTACCCATCTGACAAAGGGCTGATATCCAGAATTTACAAAGAACTCAAACAGATTTACAGGAAAAAAACAAACAAGCCCATTCAAAAGTGGGCAAAGGATATGAGCAGACACTTTAAGAAAGAAGACATATATGAGGCCAACAATCATATGAAAAAATGCTCATCGTCACTGGTCATCAGAGAGATGCAAATCAAAACCACATTGAGATACCATCTCACGCCAGTTAGAATGGCGATCACTAAAAAATCTGGAGACAACAGATGCTGGAGAGGATGTGGAGAAAAAGGAACACTTTTACACTGTTGGTGGGAGTGTAAATTAATTCAACCATTGTGGAAGACAGTGTGGCAATTCCTCAAGGCCTTAGAAATAGAAATTCCGTTTGACCCAGCAATCCCATTACTGGGTATATATCCAAAAGACTATAAATCGTTCTACTATAAGGACACATGTACACCAATGTTCATTGCAGCACTGTTTACAATAGCAAAGACCTGGAATCAACCAAAATGCCCATTGATAATTGACTGGATTGGAAAAATGTGGCACGTATACACCATGGAATATTATGCAGCAATCAGAAATGATGAGTTTGTGTCATTTGTAGGGACATGGATGAATCTGGAGAACATCATCCTCAGGAAACTGACACAAGAACAGAAAATGAAACACCGCATATTCTCACTCATAGGCGGGTGATGAAAAATGAGAACACATGGACACAGAAAGGGGAGTACTAAACACTGGGGTCTATTGGTGGGAAAAGGGGAGGGCCAGTGGGAGGGGGAGGTGGGGAAGGATAGCCTGGGGAGAAATACCAAATGTGGGTGAAGGGGAAAAAGAAAGCAAAGCACACTGCCATGTGTGTACCCACGCAACTGTCTTGCATGCTCTGCTCATGTACCCCAAAACCTAAAATCCAATAAAAAATTAAAAAAAAAAAGAAAAATTACAGTTTTATGTTCATATATTGAACTATAGTAAATGGAGGCAAATTATTTTGTTACTTTAAAGTTTTATTGTTCCTAAGCATTCAACTGTACTCTGATAATGCCTTTAGAATAGAAAAGAGACTTTGAAGTCAGGCATAATTTTACTTTTCAATTTTATTAATCTATCTACCTATCTTTGGTCAGTCTTTCTACCTATCTGGATGATACAATATGATAAACATAATTATCAGAAATATACTTGAATATTAAATTTTGTTATGTGTGTGTATATGTGACAGGAAAGAATGAGGCAAAATACTTTTGTTAAAATTTAGAGAATGAATTGAATTGAATTCAGATTTGAATTATGTAATATCCACCCTTAGAACCTAATTGTCTACACAGAATCTAATTGAAATTTAGAAAGATATTTCATTTCAACTAAAAATGGTCGGAATTTTGTATCTAGTATTCACCAGGCATTAGATCAAGAACTAGAGAAAGACTAGAGAAAATCTTTAAAGCACTTACTTGTTGCCCTTAATGAAGTTGGTAGAAAATAATGAAACGTAAGGTGGAAGAGACTGTCAGGTGGACTTTGACATGTAAATATACATACATAATTTTCTGGTGAAAGATAAACCAATTTATGATGACAGAATCCCCACCACTGGTGAGTATTGTTGAAATCTGAAGTCATTGCAGAGATAGTTGATATAATTTAAAGTCAGGAGAGAATGATACATAATTGCATTTTACTTTTTATAACTGTTGCTAGAAACTTTTTAAAGCCAATCAATATTCCTGAGCCATTATATATTTTCAACTCACAAAATCTATGCTGGTTTTTAAGATATATTCAAATCAGAAAAAGGTATAGACTTATAGAAATAATAGGTGCATTTAAAATGTACCAATTTTGTTCTGACTTTCTAATTATTTTAAAGAATAAGAATGTTTTGAGTTATGAGGAAATCTGTAGAACAATACAAAGCCAAAAAGGAATCGGCAACCAACAGAATGGGAAAAAAATTTTGCAGTTTACCCATCTGACAAAGGGCTGATATCCAGAATTTACAAAGAACTCAAACAGATTTACAGGAAAAAAACAAACAAGCCCATTCAAAAATGGGCAAAGGATATGAACAAACACTTTACAAAAGAAGACATACATGAGGCCAACAAACAAAAGAAAAAATGCTCATCGTCACTGGTCATCAGAGAGATGCAAATCAAAACCACATTGAGATACCATCTCATGCCAGTTAGAATGGCAATCATTAAAAAATCTGGAGACAACAGATGCTGGAGAGGATGTGGAGAAATAGGAACACTTTTACACTGCTGGTGGGAGTGTAAATCAGTTCAACCATTGTGGAAGACAGTGTGGCGATTCTTCAAGGACCTCAAAATAGAAATTCCATTTGACCCAGCAATCCCATTACTGGGTATATATCCAAAGGACTATAAATCGGTCTACCACAAGGACACATGCACACGAATGTTCATTGCAGCACTGTTTACAATAGCAAAGACCTGGAACCAACCCAAATGCCCATTAATGATAGACTGGACTGGGAAAATGTGGCACTTATACACCATGTAATATTATGCAGCAATCAAAAATGATGAGTTCGTGTCCTTTGTAGGGACATGGATGAATCTGGAGAACATCATTCTCAGCAAACTGACACAAGAACAGAAAATGAAATACTGCATATTCTCACTCATAGGCGGGTGAAGAACAATGAGAACACATGGACACAGGGAAGGGATTACTACACACTGGGGTCCATTGGGGGGAATAGGAGTGGGACAGTGGTGGGGGGGAGCTGGGAAGGGATAGCATGGGGAGAAATGCCAAGTGTGGGTGAAGGGGAGGAAGGCAGCAAAACACACTGCCACATGTGTACCTATGCAACTACCTTGCATGTTCTGCACATGTACCCCAAAACCTAAAATGTAATAATAAAAAAAAAGGTCATCAATAGGTAGACAACAAAAAAACAAAAAACAAGAAGCATGCATTGCAAAATTGATTCTAATGTTTATTATTTATTCACAAATTATGGCTCACTATTAGATCAAAGGTTTGGCATGTATAAATTACAAATGAAACTAACATCTTTTTGTTTTGTTTTGAAAATTGATTATGCATTATGTATAAAAACAATTTTAAAGTGTTGAATGCTATGGAAATGTCATCCATAAGTGCTTGAGTATCTATGTGAGATGAAACTGGTTGATACATACAATGTAAAAACAAATTGTTTAGAGGAAAGATGGATAGTATCGCTTTCACTCACACTTCTGCACATTTTGTACATCACTGGAGAAATTGAGTCCATTATAACTGCTTTTCATAAAAAGAGAGAAATCCAAATGCTAGTTTGGGGCCTCAGTTATAAGAATGTATTCCAAAAGATTTCTTGGAGTCACATCAAGAGTTAGGTACTAAAAATAGAGTGGAGATGTGCTGTGGACATCAACACAATTCTGCAAGCACATAGATAGGGACAAATCTCTTAGAAAAGTAAGGGTTAAAAGCTCAGTGTTTTCCATGATTCAGTGTTAGTTTTTCCAAGCCCTCTGGGCAGTTTTTCACTCTCCCAAGAAAAATGTCTGGCATATATCTCTCTATCTCCTAGCAAATAACATCTCTGAGGGTGACTGCTCACCCACCTCATGATGCTCCTGGAAATGTTATCTGTAAGTGCAGAGTTGAAAGTAGAGGGAGGCAGTGTTGAAAGTAAAAGGAATTATGTTTTGGAGGATGTTTGGTCTTGCTGGATGGAAGTTTCATGTTTGGATATATTATTTATCATTTTGCTATATAGGACAAATTATTTAGATCGCTGGATTTCAGTTTCCTCATTAAACTGAGGCTTTAGTGAAATTTCAAAAGGTATAAAGAAATAAAATATGCAAGCTGCTCTTATAGTGTTGAAAAATTAATAAGCCTTCAAAAATCAGGTTATTCTCGCTCACTTTGTCTTTGTCTTTTGGATTCATACTAAAACCTTATAAAACCTTACCCTAAGTGGAGCAGTTACTCACTATATGCCCCACCATCACATTGTTACTAGTATGTAATCCCTGCTATCATTTTTGCTATAGATAAGCACAAACTTCTGGTCTTAAAGTTACAGTTTTCAGGCTCACTGTATGCCTCATTCTCTGATTTATTTCAGCACATAGTATTGCTATGTGCTGAAAATTCTTAAAACAATATATGCAATAAATATGCTAAATAACTAAAAAAGAGACTGAGTGAATACATATATTACTATAGATAGGAACCTAATTTATATTATATAATAAAAAACTTTCTATGCTTTATTACAAGCTATTCATCAATTATGTCCTCTCAACTTAGTGAATGACTTAACCATTTTTTGCAGTTTCCTTAACTGAAAAATGCATTTCATAATACTTCAGAGGGTTGTGTGGCAATCAAATGAGAAAACAAATGAGGAAATATTGTTTGGCCCATAATTTTATGAAGTTTTTGTCATCACTATAAATGAGTCATTTGTAGATTTATGGCAGATTAAGATAACCTTTTGTTAATTTACATATTTTTCTCTCACTTCTACTGTTAAATGAAGAGAATGCTCTCTGAGATTCATATAATACACATTTAATCAGCAAATATGTTGTGCTTGGTCCTGTGCTAGGTGGGGATGAAAATAAATAAAATATTTAAGCTCTTTACCCTCAAAGACAATTACTATTTGTTGGGAAAAGATGACATAGATGAGAAAAAAATGCATCACTACCAAAGACAATTCTGAAATATAAGCAAAATGTCCTTAAATCACAAAATAAAGAGGTGTAAACTCTTCCTGCAATCGTGTATTTTGACTATTACTACTTTAACTGCTACTACCACAGCCACTACTAATCGCTATGTTTCATTAACTGTTCCCTAGGTTTCAGGTTCTTTTCTAAGCCAATTATATTTATTATCTGATTTACTCCTCCAGTAACTCTTCTCATTTCATGTAAAAGGACAACTGAAATTAAGTCTGCATAAGGTTTCAGAGGGAGTAGGAGAGGAAGTAGGAAACAAAGCTAGGTTTGTTGGACCCAAAAGCAATAAATACATGTTTCACTGCTTCACTGAGGAGATGACAGATGGCTGGATCTTCAAAAGATAAAAGCATATATTTCTGAAAGTGTAGCGAAGGTCTCACAAGCAAAAAGATATATCCTAAATATAGATATTGTGTTTTAAAGAATGTGTGATCTATGCAGAATCCTATGACCATTTAGCATGATTGAAATTATATGAATGTGAACTTTAGAAAGTCAAACTGGGCACAGGTGGCAAAAGGCCCTGCCAAGCTAAGGTGTTGTATATTATCATGAATGAAGTGGTAAAACTGATGAGATTTTAAGCACCTTCCATTATTTTTTTCTCTTTTAAGGGAGGAAGTAGATACATTTTTGTAACAGGAAATCTATGTGGAAGTTTAGTAAAATAGTCTACATAAGGAAATGATGAATAAGATAATTAAATTAGTGGGACTTAATAAAAAAAAAGTGAACCTAGAAGATATTTCTGAATGAGAAGTAGCACAACTGATAAGTTTTGGATTTGGGGATACAGAGACTGGGACGTAGAGTAACAATGACCAGAAGTGTTTTAGCTTGTAAGACTGTATGACTGATAATGAAATGACAATGTTTTGGCCTCTCAGACATACGTTTGATAGTCAAATAGAATAAAAGACAATGGACAGATTTTAGCCCTTGTGTGTAACATGAGCTAATTTTGGACAAATCAAGATTAAAGAATTTGGAGGCTATCCAGTAAGTTCCCTAAGTGGTAGTAAATACAGTTTTGTGGTTTAAGAGGGAGATTGAGAAAACATCTTTTGATAGGAGAAGTCATTGGCGTTAACATTATAGAGAAAGCACATAAAAACAAGAGGAAAACAGATTCAGAGACAAAACATTGGAGACCATTGGCATTTAGAAGACTATCAAAAACAGATAATTCAATTAATAATTGTCACAATAGCAGTCGATT